TTGTTCTCTTTGTAGAAATCAAAAACCGAGGTATTATTATTATTATTATTATTATTTTAATTTTAGACTAATGAATTGAATTCTTAGACTAAAAAAAGAGACATTGAGCACTAGCAACACAGGCTATCGGCTCTAATTTAAAAAAATGGATATTAGATAATAAGCTTAGTAGTAAAAAACCGACGTAGAATATACGAAAGATAAGCAGTTAGTTCCTCTTTTCGTATTTGAAAATATAATTTAATATCGTGTAAAGCAAAAGTTTTTGAGAGATCCCTAAGTTGAAGTCGGTGAAAATTTCAATTTTCCCTTAATCTATGGTAAAGATATTAAATATTCAGATTTAAATGAATTTTAATTTTCGGCTTTTTTTTTTTTTTTGACTTTTTTAGCACTACAAAGAACACGTTTTACAAATATATAATAAATAAGTTAATAAATATGAAGATTTATTTACTTTCCCAAGAAACAATAAACAACATCGTCGTTTGCCTATGAAAACAAATCAAACATTTAAACGAGACAATGCATAATAAGGAGAGAAAGATGTCTGAACATGAGAACTTAAAGAAGATTACATTAAATTTTATCATAAATTCGAAGCTTTCTGTCTACAATGTAAAACTTATTGAATATAAAAATTTAAGGTAACCGCAAGGATGTGCTGCTACACTTTAAAGTGTATTGAAATCTCTTTTTGTAGGAGAAGAACACCTTAACCACACATTAAGAATATTTTAAAGAAAAAATTGTAGGCATAAAAAATGCTTTTTTTCATCACTTTTAAATAATTATGTGAACGATGAGATAAATCTAATGGAAATTTGCTTGTGATGAAATGTTAATTAAGTTCATTTCACCTTCAGTGAAAATCATCGTAATTAACGTCAATTTCAATCAACTTGCACATATACATTTAAACAATGAACTTTTAGTTTGCACTTTCGAAATCTGTCAGGCATTAAATTTCCATAAATTTTAAAATTTCATTTAAATTATTTATGCATTGGTTGTGCATTTATTGTCATCCGACACATTTTATAATAAATCATTGCATACTTTTAAGTATAATGCACGAAAATGTTATTTTATATTTTGTTGATTTTTTACTTACTTAAATTATTTAATTTTTCATCCTTTCACGATCAAGCAAAAAAAATGTAATTATTTTTAATTTTTTCATTTACGTCATTCATATGCGTTCTCTTTAAAATTAGCTTTTAGGCGTACTATGAAATAATTTTTTATTACCTAACTCGTTATTAGATAAAGAAATGATTCTCTTTTGAACGAATCGCACAAACGCATACATCCGCATACGGATTTCATGCTGAATACATGGAGTTGATCGATCTGCTTAGCTTTTTATAAATCAAAACAGAGAAACCATTTATCTCTTGTGAAAAACGTCTTTGTTCACGTTTATATATGTGCCGCATGTTGTTTAATATATTTCATTCAACACTTTTCCGCCAGCATACAAATCCAATTGCTAGAAAGTTATGTGCAGTTAACACGCGTAGTACGCGTATTAAGAAAATTCTAGTAACTAAAAAAGCATTCGTAGTGGATATTAAGTTTATATTATTTTAAAAGTGAATTGTGGCAATTCGTCGAATTACACGCCCACAATGAAAATTATATTTCTCAATATTTATATTTTGAGATTGCTTCTACCACATGATTGGAATAGACCTTAACCATTCTGAGTTATCTGAAGATATAGGACAAAAATGTCTAATGTCATATTAACATAACATAAATAATTAAAATTGTGGACTAGACGTTGCAAAACTTATTACGTATAGCAATCCAAGTGGGTGGGTAACGAAAAGCAGTTATCCTTAAATGAAAGAGATTTCTATCGACTGCATTTATTCAGTTCCTACACGCGACTAGAAAACCCGAACAGTGTGCCGCTGACCTCCGCTCTCCTTTTTCATTCGTAGACAAATAACCTCGTTTGTAGTGTAAGGTTTCTCAACACTTTATTTGCAAGAGAAGAGCTAGCAAGAAGGCAATAAAAGCAAATGACACGCGTCGAGAGAAAAGACGCCTTATCACTGCTCGATTTGGATTAAAAATTGATAGCAAATAAGGCCATGTCGTCGTAAAAAGTATATATTAATTTTATTAATACAAATGGAGCTCCCGTCTTCTCTCTTTTTTACAGCTCACAAAAGAGATCCGCAATCTCTATATTGTTTGTTGAAGGACGACAGTACCTCTAAACTTGCACTTCCATTCTTAACTTGTAGAAATATAAGCTAAAGATCACAAAAGTTTGGTTTAATATTCTAAACAAACATTTACAAGAACCGTGTATACGGTGCAAAAAAAATGGCTATGAGCCGAAAGCAAAAGCAATCAAAATCACCGCAACATGCTACCTATATGCAATAGTGGTCTGAAATCTAATACAAACACTTCCTATACGCGAACTAAAAGACTACACTACACACAACTATAGCATATATTTGTTCAATAATTATAGTAGAATTATATTTAAAAATGAATTATTTTTGACGACGCATTAAATCGTGTTTTGCTCTTCGGCAAACACAACTCAAAGCAAGCAAATCCTGCCTTTACATAGCTTTTGAAAAGGCTTCACCTACGCCACAGTTTATTCTGTCATTTTTGTTAATCCTTCGACCTGCTTCTCTGCGCCGCAATTTCTGTTAATCTCTTTGCTAATTAGTATTCGCATTAGGCGCCTTTGTTTCATGACAACAAGAGCCAAAGCGTGGCAAATCCTTATTACTTTCAGCACATTTCACAAAAAATTTTCTTTCCTATCGGGGTAAGCATTTTTCATGCATTTTAAATGTATTTAATCTAACAAGAATGCTAGGAGCAAATTCGAGATAAAATTTGTTTGTTGTCGGGAAAAGGGTTCGAAATTGCACTCTTAACTTCGATAAATTGATAGATGATGAAAAGTTGATGCCATTATGCGTTGCAGATATTTCGAAAAAATGTAGAATTATACTCGCGGTTTTCGCGGTTTTCGCGGTTCACATCCAATACAGTCTGCGCCTAAACGAATTTTATTTGTAATTTCAGAAATTTTCAGAGATTTTTCGCAAATAATGTTTAAGTGACGTCAATAGTGTAAAAGTAGTAGACACAAGTAGTAAGTATACAATCACTTTTTAATTAGCAGGTACGAGAAAATGATCGATTGTTTATTTAATACATTGGCGAAACAAAACTGTAGCATGCTTTTGAGGGCAATTAAATCTTAATAGCCTAGTCTTGCGCAAATAACATAATACTTTATTTTTAACTTTATGTAAATTAACAGGATATTATTTGCACTTGAAATGTTATGAAATTGCAGAATTACATGGAAACTGCTTTAAACCAACCGAGAGATGAATAATGTAATACAACGAATAAATCATGTAAAGATTTCATTTAATATATTTTTTGCAAAAATGTACAATTTCCAAGTAATGTTACAGATCAGAATCAGTTATTTACAATTTGATGCTGCTTATGAATGCTTTATTTTATGAATTTAATTTTGGCTCTCTCTCTCTCTCTCTCTCTCTCTCTCTCTCTCTCTCTCTCACCCCTTTTAAATTACTCAGAATTTAAGTGTAATAAGCTATGTATGCTTTCAATAAAATACTTTACCCATATTACACAATTGTACAAATCAATTTTAGAAACTTAATAACAATTACGAATTGTAATCGCATAAAATGCAATGACTTTTCGAAAGAGCCCTGCATATGGAGAAAGATTGAAAAAATAGATAACAAATGCAGTCGAAATTTATATATTATATTCAGAACAAATTTCATTATATTATATCACATTAACAATAAGACACTTTCAACATATATAAAGACTTATTTTTTGTGAGAACATGTTCTGGGCTTCTTCGATCCCATCCAAATTTTCAACATTTATCCATTACATCATATTAAAAATTGGCAACTCTCTACTCATTTACAGACTCTTTCGGAGCATGGAATAAATTGACTTGTCCCCAAAGTCAAGATAAGTCGGTGTGCGAAATTTCATTTTGAGATACACATAAAAATACATGAGCAGACATCAGCACACCGCGAGCATAGTTTAAATCGTAATGAAATTTCGTACAGATAATGGACGAAATGTACATTACAGCAATTAAATGAATAAGAGAACAACTTTATTATTTTTACATTTCTAGGGAAATATTAACGGCCACGTTTATTTCACTAAGCAAAATTTTGAACGTGCAAATCTCATTACGAGAAAGAGAGTAACAGACATAGATATGGCTAAGTCGAGACTATTATAGAAAATATATGGGCAATAAAAACAATAGAAAATATATACAATTTGTCGACAATTTGTCACCGGTTCCTATGTGCTACACAAGCTACATTTACGAGATTTAAGATATCTATCTGTAAGGGTGGATTGAAGAAATCTAAAGTTGATATACACGTTACGAATAGATTTTGCGTAGACCTCGCCTTCATTGATCAGGAATCCGGCTACTAGATACAGATCTAAGGGAGTGATCCAATGCAACGCAGAGACGATAAATGGCCCACTAGTTACAGAAAACATCCAAATATGTATACGAAACTTTTGGAAAAAACAATCTATCAACTTAACGGGAATTCAAAATTCACTTAAAAATTCTTATAAATTTCATAACGACATCATATTCCTTTTATCATTGTTATGCGTTGTTTCTGATTTGATTGATTACTGAGAGAGGAGACTATCAATTACATTCCGACTCTTTTGTATTAATTGTATTAAATCGGCGTCAATACAAAAACTACAAATACAACCCAACGCGTGTTATACATCTTCCTTAAGAGTTCCTAGAAAAAGTGGTCTCTTGGTAAAAGGAAAAAAAAAAAAAAGGAAAAAAAAACCAGAAATTCTCAAACGAAATCCTCAACATGAAAATTTAATCTCTTTATAAAGTAAAGTAAATGAATTTAAAATAGTAATCACGTGTATCATTCTTTGTGTACGAGAATTTTTCAATTGAAAATTATGAATTTATTCATATTAATAATGAACATGAAAATATCGCTTCCTTATCGCTTCATTAACAACGTTTACGATGATCATCTTGGACAGCGATCAAATGCAAAATGCTGAACACAATGATCGACAATAATTCGAGTTGTATTAATAGCAATAACAATAATAACAATGGCACAAACGCAACGATCACAATTGCCGGCACCGGTTCGGAAGAAACAAGTGACGTTTGGCGCATATTTGAATTCGTTAGTCATATACTTAATTGCGTTTATGTACCGATTATCGTTTGCATGGGCTCGTTAGGCAACATTTTGTCTGTATTCGTTTTTTCAAAAACAAAATTATGTAAACTCTCGTCGAGCTATTATTTAGCTGCTTTGGCGATAAGTGATACTTGCTTCCTGTTCGGTTTATTTATTCAATGGCTCAACTTTTTCGATATCAATATATATAATCGGGATTATTTTTGTCAATTTTTCACATTCTTCAGCTATTTAGCCAGTTTTTGTTCGTCGTGGTTCGTTGTTGCGTTCACCGTGGAACGCTTCATAGCCGTTATGTATCCATTAAAACGTCAGACAATGTGCACGGTGAGGCGAGCAAAAATAGTATTGAGTGGCATTAGCGTATTAGGCGTCTTGCATTGCATACCATTTTGGATATCGTCGCAACCGGTTTCGTTGGACGAACGTCAAACAACAATATGTGACATAAAGAATGAATATAAGGTAAGCGTTAAATGAAATAATCAAAAAAAAAATACAATAGTGTAATATTTAGCTTTGCTTGTAATCGATTTATTTTCCACAATTCGAAAACTATTTTCCAATTCTCAAAACTATTTATCTCCTTTAACAGGCATTTTTTTTTTTTTTTTTTTTTTTTATTATAATAATTATTTTTCGTACAGGATGCGTGCAATAGTTGCATGCATACATATTCATATTAAGCTCAATTATTTTGTTTTTATTTTTTTTTTTTGTAAAATTTATTATAATATCGGATCGTTTTTATGCGATATTAATTTACTTTCAACTATTATTATTTAATGAAACTCTTCAAAAGTGAACGCAATACGCCGTGAAAAACGTTTGCGTGCACGAATCTTTCTTCTTTTTAATATCCTATGGACCGATGGACAGGCTTAAGTTGGTTGGATGCTTAATGTTTTGTTAGAGCGTTTCCATTATATAAGAATTGAATCGATAAGTAGCGAGCTAGCGCTACTGATATATTCTGGAAAATAACCGTCGCACCAAAATTATTAATTAATAAGAAGAAGAAGAATGTAAGGAAATAAACTAACGAAACCTAACTTATCTTATTGCAAATATTATCTGTCATCAGTAGCTACCACTTGTCGTACTTTCGAAATACCGGATAAATCCATCCTGCTGAAGAGATAATAAATCTTTTAGGGCTGTACTCTAACGAAACCGAAAGAATCAAATCGCCGCTTTTAAGAGACAATAAGAGATCGCTGGGGCCAATCGTTAATTAGAAGGAATAATATCTACTTAATTGGTGGTAAATTCAAATTCTGTGATCCCTAAGTTTCGCGGCGAGAGTTCGCAATATGTGTATCTCGGTATGATGTTGTCATCGTGACGTATTACCCTATAATCTGTTATTATATTGCGGATGTTTTTCCTTTAATAAACAACCCAATCTAATAGGCTATGCCTTGTTGTGTTAGAACTACTCTCCTTAACACTCCTTATATTCAGCTAATAGCGGTTTCAAAAATACTTTGAATACTTTCTCTTATTATTTTTATACCCATCACCAAGCAGGTGGGGGTATATTTATTTTGTCAAAACGTTTGCGACGCCCCGAAGGAAGCATCAGAAACCCCACAAAGTATACTTATTCTTGATCAGCATCAAATTCTAAATCGATTTAAGCATGTCCGTATGTCCGTCTGTTAAAAACATTCTCCTGACCGCAAAGATGAAGCGAACGATTTGCAATTCGCTAGCGACAGTGGAAGTTCTTGCACGCAAGGTTCGTATTGAAAGTGGACTAAATCAGTCGAAGGATACACCCACATTACCACGCAAACTGAGAACACCTCTGTTTTTCAAAGGGAATGAAAAATTGGATTTTGCTCATTTTACTCACTAACTATAGCAAATAAATGTACAAAAATGTGAACATATTTTCTATGGATGATACTGTAGCTTTTGTACACAAAAATATAAAAAATTGACCACGCCTATTCAATATTATAATGTATCAAAATTTAATTGTTTTTGCAATACCTTTATAACGCGGAGAAACAAGCTTCAAAACCTCTATAAAGTATATAAATTCCTGGTCAGTTTCAAATTTGCAATGCACTTACAAATAGCCGTCTGTCCATCTGGTCTGTTGGCGCAACTTTGTAGTAGTTGTGGTGAAAATTCTTCCGTTGGCGAAAGTAAAGAAATCGCCTAAAAATTTGCAAAAAAATTTCTAATTGACCTAAACTTTTCAAAGGACACTCCCACAACGCCCACATGCCTTTACGATAGAAGCTTTTATTTTGAAAATAGAAGAAATCAACTGCGCCCACACCATATTATAGAGCATAAGAGTTTTATTCTTTTACTGCTTTTGTCCTTTTTTGGGGTAAACGGTGATGGGCATAAAAAATTCGGTCTCGACCGAATTTAATTTTTTTTAATTTTAATTATGTTTAGTTATTGATTTAGAAATTCGATAGGTGATAGGTGGTAGAAATGTGCTCATTTCAATAGATTATTTGTTTCTGTCGATAAGCACTAGTGGGTTGTGTGGGTATTTTCTCCACTAAGTTATATGTGTGCGTATGCATTTTAAATATTTTACTATATATATTCCCTAAATAAAAATTGAAAGGTCTACACAATGTATGGAAATACGCGTTTCTCTTTGTTTTTATAAAGCGTGCATACCATTGTTGATAACGACTGGCGGCTTATATAACCGTTGAAATCATTGCTTCTGCTCACAAAATTTTTCTGGTGAAACAACATTAACGGTATCATCACATAGATAAAAATTGAAATAAATGAATAAATAAGTAAAAATTATTTAATTGAATTAAATATTCTTCCTATGCTGTAAAAAAAATTTTCATTAATTAATTAACTTAATGTTATTTCGGTAACAATGGACGATGTTTTAAAGGATGAAAAGCCAGCGTCAATTTTGCAAGAACAAAAATTTTGTTTTGTTTTATTGGCCTCAAATAGATGCTTTCAGCCTTCTATAGAATATTCATTCAAGTTGACCGATCTGAACCATTTTCAATAGCGATCGTTCGTGGACCAAAGTACGTCAGTGTACCAAATTTCATTAAAGTATATCAAAAATTTTTCGACCCGTAGCTTTTGAACACCAATTTATATGCACAAATGTCGGACGGACAGACAGATAGATAGACGGCCAGGCAGGCTTAGGTCGATTTGGAGAATGATTCTGAATCGCTCAGTATAATAAAAGGTGAGTGTACGTTAAGCCGCTAACTTAATGTACCACAAGTACTACAAGTAATTACACATAAATAATTAACAAAAATATTAGATAGAGTAACTTAAAAACTTATACAGTGCAGGAGAAGTTCGACATAATTGCTTAATAATTAATTACACTACGAATTATAAAATTTTCCGATCTCTCACACTAACCTCTGCACAGTAACAATAGCCTTAATATTGAGTGGTAACGGGATCCATAACTTTATAGCATCGATAAAATGTTGCTGATCTGGAAAAATGAAATATGCATCGTACGTCTGTCTGATCTGACAAACTGGATTTTCTCAAACAGATATTTTTTGTTTATTAAGTTTATTACAAATTCTGTTAAAGTCTATAGCGTGTAGAGGAGAACAACAATTTTTAATTTGTTCATGTTGCTCCTGGCTGTAGATGTTATAGATAGTGGTTTTTGTGTAAATCTTTAACTTGAGACAAAATCAAACGGAGTCATTCATCCATAGGATACAATGATGACCTAAGGGTGCAAGACATATCGTTATATAAAGTTTTGTAAGCTTACAAGTTTATTTATGAGAAAATCTTTTAAAGGTAACTTGACGTACATTAAAATATATGCCAAAATTGCAATCAAGATAAAAAGTCATTGACTAAAGTTGCAAGACCTACGTAATAAGCATTTATTTATTGTCGTACTTCGTAGTAATGTTCCCACTTGACTAATACTACTGCATAGGAATTATTTATACTTGCAATGCACGCATATGTGCCTTAGAGTACAAATCACATTTGTGCATGGGATTTAATTAGTTTCGACATCAACACAAAAAGATCTACTGACTATGAGTTAAATACAGTTACACACTTATGTAATTAAATAAATAACTGATATATTTTCATAGTTTTAAATATACTTAATTCTCTTTTCATATGAATTTTATTTAAGCAAAATTTGATTTAACAAAAATAATTTTCTTTTTTTACACGAATTTTTGAGCATGTATGCATGTATCGTGTAAAAAGAGAATTATGTGTATATTTTAGGGGATTTCGGTCGACTTTCTAACCATAATCATTTTCGCGTAACGAGTAAAAATCTAAAAATTTTTGTTTAAAAAAACCGGATTGCGTTCAATTGATGCTTCACTGTACGCTTTTGCTTTCACCAATTTGACCCATTTTTAATACCAACTTGCGTGCTGAAACTTCAAATGTTTCTAACAAATTTGAAGTCGATATATCCATTTTTGCGAGCAGGAGAGTGCCAGCAACACCCATGATACAGACGGACATATATGGCTAAATCAACTCCCAATTTCACGCTGATCAAGCATATATCTACTTTATAGAGTCTCTGAAGCTTCCTTTTGGGTCTTGCATACATTATAGCAAAAAAGCAAAATGAGTGCACCCCCATCTTACAGTGATGGCTATAAAGATAATCGCAAAGTGAACAAGATTTTTACAATACATTTACTAAAATCATCAGCCCTCCATGTTGAACGTGATCAACACAGTAAAGTAAATGAATTACATATGTAATAAAGGATTTCTTAAATTTTATAGTGGCCGAAGTGCAATAAAAAACAGTGTAGAAAACACTATGATGGCTCACGGCCCACCATTAAATACTCTACGTCATCTTATATAGTTATTCATACAACGAACAAAAAATGATTCGATCCGAAATACTTTGATTCGTCCGTGGACCAAAATATGCCCGTGCACCAGATTTCATCAAAGAAGAAGGAGAAAATAAGACGGACGGACGGAGACGCAAAAAGTGAAACTTAAATCGATTGGAAAGCTGAGTCTGATTTAGAAAATGATTCTAAAAGACGGGCTTGTCTTAAGCGTCTTCTGGTGGCACAAACATAATACATATAATTTGATATCACAGGTGATGTAAGGCATAACACGTGGAATTATACCCTTAATGTAAGGGGTAGCGTTAAGTAAATTAATATTTGAGAAGAAATTTTCTCGTCGCCCTTATGCACAGATCTCGCTTAAAAAAAAAGTTTAGATTGTGTAAATAGATGTTTGGCGTTTACATTGCGGGTGATTTCAATGTTCAATTGCAGTGATTTTCATTGCAAACACAGACATCCGAAAGCATTAAATAATTACTTTTGACTTTTTTCTTATCTTTTTTATATTTTACATTAGGCGTGGCAAAAATAAAAAAAATAAAAATATTGAAAGATTTCTTGTTAGTGAATAGTGTCCAATATTATGTATAGGGCAATAATAAAGTAATCAGATTACTAGTAATAGTGGGTCGTATTTAATAGGTAAATAGTTCAGTCTACAATTTGAATACCGATAGCTTTTGTATCGATCTCATCGCAAACAATACTAATACAATTAAATACTTCTCCCCTTAAACGGAGGGAAACAAATTAAAATGTTATAGGTGGACAAGGATGATTATTAAATAAATGCTATTAAATGCTATAAATACTATTTCTTTTAACCTACTTCTTCAACATATGACTTTATATGGAGAGTGCATGTAAAATGATTCCCATCCAATTCATTTTATTAGGATCTGTTGGAAATTGCGTTGACTCTTTATGTACATACTTCGTACTCGAAGCCATTTAGATTATGACAACAATGAAAATGTGCAATACCAGGCCAGGCGAGAGCCTAAGAATGAAACAAGATGAATTTGCGAGCAGATAGATTTATTCTTCGAGGTATTATCGCTTATATTCAATATAGTTTTTTTTTTTTTTTTTTTTTTTCTGTGAAGACTTTAGTTACTTCATTTAGGCCACCCTGCCTGTGAAGATATGTCCCTTATAACCACCAAAATGTCGGCATTTCGACTTATCTCTTAGTTTTAATTTTCAATTACTTTTGCTGTAATTAAAGGCATCCATCTGCACGATAAACGTATCGAATGCACAGTAGTTCACGTTTAATTCATGGCAGTTGAAAAAATAGAGTGCAGTCAGTCGTCATATTAAATGTGACTTAGTTAAGAAAAATAATTTACCCGTAGCTAAATAAAGCATTCATTCGTAAGGGAGGCCGACCCAAGTAAAGAAAAACTGGTCTCATTTAAAAATTATTTTCGAAAGGCGTTGTTCTCGAACAAAAGTCAACTCCCATTAGTAAATTAGAAAATGTTCTTTTTCTTCAATTCTATCAAAATCCAATTAAATTTTTCAAATGTTAAACAAAAAAAATTATAATGTGCAGACATTTGCACAGATAAATTTCAAATAATTCAATTCAATTAATTTTTTTGTCTTTTTTCTCTTGTTGATATTATTTTCATTTCAAAGATATCCTTGTTGAAGGAAGTTGCCATGCCGAACGAAAGCCATACACTATTCATAACCCGTATGCAATGAATTCAATCTAAAAATTCCCATAAAAAACAACGAAAAACCTAAGAGCCAATGTTTTATTCGAACACTTCTTTTCTTATACTTGGCTATGACGGATCTTTTTATAGCCATCACTGTTAGCTTAAAAAAGGGTGTGTCCCCTAACCAGTTCAGCTCAGTTTCAATTCTCTTTTGACAAATTTGGATCCGAGATAGCTTCATTTCGGCGACTGGAAGAATGTACACCGCAGACATTGTGCACACGCATAGACTGTTATGCTTAAATCGGCTAGAAATGCGTGCATTGACTTGGTGCGATCTCTGCAGCTCCCCCCTCTGATTATTGCAAACGTTTTGACAACAACATGAATTTGGGCCATGAGCATGAAACTGCATCATGCCTCTATTCTTGGATAACTCTTTCTTATCCCTCATGAATATTCATTATTTATTATTGAAATAATTTATTCATAGTAGAAAAGAAAATATGTTAAATTTATTAACTTTGTTAACTATACGTTACAATCATTTTGCTTATAACATAATCAAGCATTGCTTTGTCTTCATTCGTCGATAAAGCGTCTCTTTGCGCTCATTGATATACGATAAGTGATAACATTACGTCATTGATTACAGAACACGTTAGAGAGAGTATAGGAAGCTGATGATGCGTGTTAAATGATTCGGCCAATGCTGTATATAATCATTTTCTCCGTTTTTGCTATCCTCATTGTTATAATAAAATATTCAATCATTGTTGCACTGCAATGTTCCGAAACTGATACGAGAAAAATGATTCCGTTCCCAATATATTTACTTTACACGAATTTTACATACAACAACAAGAACATATTGTATTGCTTGCTCCTTTTTACAATTTTCGTTATTAATTATTTCCAAGTATATGTTTACGTTCGCAAAATGCATTGTTAACCGCTATCCTCTAGCAATGGCAAAATGCGCTTCTAACCAAGTTAGCGACATTACGATGGCTTAGAAGCTTGCATAATCGATCGGATAAGAGCTGTCGTTTTAATCACAGATATAATCATGTATTTGTATAAGCGTATATGTACGCATTTTACCCTTTCATGGGTGCAACTATATATACCCCATAATATCGAAGCGAAAAATTAGGCAAATAAGAAACATTATATTAGCTATATGGCATAGCTTAACTACTTAACTACTTATATGTATATGAAAACCGCACGTTTGTTTTGAAACTGTTTTCTCACACATGCATACTGAGAATACTGGGTAGACGGCAAAAAGAATTTGGCTACGATACCCATTATTTTAAATTGAAATTTGATAATAGAAACAAGTAAAAAAATTAAATTCGATAGGGATCGAATCCTCCCATCTCCCATCTCCCCAAATTTACCACAAAAAAGGAGAAAAGAAGTAAAGGAAGAAAACTCTTATGCTTTATAACATGAAGTGAGCGCAGTTGATTTCATCTATTTTTAAAATAAAAATCTTTGTCGAAGACGCTTGCGGGGGTTGTGCGAGTCCGTCCCTCTACGTTTCAAATTTCAAATAATTTAATTTGCTCACACGAAGCAATGCTGCAAATGCATTGCATCTCCGTTCACTACAGGCTCAGCTGGTCATTATTAAATGTGAAATTGAATTGTTTGAGTGTTTGTTTTCGTTCATTAGGCCAAAAAATTAACAATTTCCAAAGAACGAAGAATAGTGAAGAATGCTGTATTCTGGTTTAATAATAGTTGGACTATTAAAAAAGAAAAAAAAAAACATAATTAATTAATTGATTTCGTTTGACGCGGATCACAAAGAAAATAAGTGACATTAAACGTTAAACGTTTAAAACTTTATTGCTATAATTATTATCGTTAGCTTTATACGCATCACCAAAGGATTAGGGGTATATTCATTTTGTCAATACGTTTGCGACGCCCCGAAGGAAGCATCAGAAACCCCACAAAGTATACTTATTCTTGATCAGCATCAAATTCTAAATCGATTTAATTATGTCCGTATGTCCGTATGTCCGCTTGTTATAAACATTCTCACGGCAGCAAAAATGAAGCGAACGATTTCAAATTTGCTAGCGACAGTGGAAGTTCTTGCACGCAAGGTTCGTATTGAAAATGGGCTAAATCACTCGAAGGATACGCCCGCAGTACCACGGAAACTGAGAACACCTTTGTTTTGCAAAGGGAATGAAAAATTGGATTTTGCTCATTTTACTCATAGACTATAGCAAATAAATGTACAAAAATGTGAACATATTTTCTATGGATGATACTGTAGCATTTGTACACAAAAATAGAAAAAATTGACCACGCCTATTCAATATTATAATGTATCAAAATTTAATTGTTTTTTCAATACCTTTATGACGCGAAGAAACAAGCTTCAAGGCCTCTACAAAGTATAGAAATTCTTGGCCAATATCAAATTTGGAATGCACTTAAAAATGGCCGCCTGTTCGTCTGTCCATCTGGTCTGTTGACGCAACTTTGTAGTATTTTTGGCAAACATTTTCCCGTTGGCGAAAGTGAAGAGATCGCCTAAAAATTTGCAAAAGAATTTGTAATTGATCTAAACTTTTCAAAGGACACGCTCACAACACCCACACGCCTCTATAACGAAAACTTTTATTTTGAAAATAGTAGAAATCGAACGCGCCCACTCCATTATTATGGAGCATGAGAATTTTCCTCTTTTACTTCTTTTGTCTTTTTTTGTTTTTGGAGTAAGCGTTGATGGGTATAAAAGATTCGATCCCGGCCGAATTTTATTTTCGTATTTGTTTTTGTTTTTAACTTTTTTTTTTTTTTTTTTTAGATAGAATCAATAAAAGTTTTTAAATAAATGCTTTCGATTTTCTTTTCAGGGTTACATACTGTTGCTTAATTATTGGGATACTATCGTTGTGTACGCAGTACCATTTGTCGTGATTGCGATTTTGAATGTATTTACCGGTTGGACCGTATGTAAATTCGCACATGTCAGAAGATCACTAACTATGTCAAGAAAGTAAATTGTATTCTGTTTTTCTCTTTCTTTAATTTCAATACAATAATCAACAGAAGGAGATCTTTTTAATCGCATCTCCTTCAAGCTTTAAAATATAAATCAATGATATAAGTGTATAGTGCTTATTAGGGCAAAATTGATTTTTTATATTCGACATCACTGGGGGTTGTGGGCAGGCGCGCCTTGAAATACAAAATCATTTTCTGAATCATTGTTCAAAATTTTCGAAATGTTTCGCTACGAAATTTAATGAATTGGTATCGAAACGAAAAACCTATTAAAAAGCCATTAGCTTTATGCCACTCATGTAATCGCTCGTCATGTGACTCTAGGCTTTGTTGATTCCAGTCGTTGCAGAGTTATGTGTGGAGTATCTAATGATTGGCTTGATCTGACTATGAACATTGAAATTGTTTCTAATTTTGGAAAATGCCTTGACTTTGCCTTGACTTAAATTGAAAAGTTTTTTATATATGACGTGAAAGCTTGATATCGTTTTTCCTACCAAAAAATTTTTATATTTCAAATCAAAGTTTAATAAACCCAATGCAACTCCTTCTGATATTTTTTCGATCAATTAACATTTTTTATCGACAATTTGTATGGGTCGTTAAGTATTACCTTAGCAATCTCAATGCGCCAGTTTTTTTTTTTTGATTTTCCGAATTTGATGACTGATCGATCAGAGCAGAGGTACATCTTTGCCATTGAGCGAGCAAAACATTTCGTAGCAAAATTACAAAATAGACCCAAATTTTTTTTAGAAATTTTTTCCCTTTTTTTAAACAAACATAGAAATGCATGGAAATTGTCGACAAACGTGGTCGCACTTTTTCAATGCGTGTCAATATAATATGGGCCGATATAGGACACCAAATATCATTTATTAATCATAATCTCTTAATATTTTTTTAATATTAATTGTAATGTCATAACTGTGTGTGGTTTTTTATTGAAACATGTCCTTTACATGCTTTGCAGCTTTGTTATCAGCTTAATTCATACATACGAGTAATATATATGTAAAATAGTTGAATATGTTTATACATGCAGATGAACTGGCATGATATGAAAAGAGTAAATACACTTTTAAAAAATAATTTTATACTGTGTTACATGCAATCCAATCCCATGGCATAAATCTAAAAGTTGTCTTTTGCATTAGTTTTTCCACTCAGTCAGTATATGAAAGTATATGTGAAATACCCATAAGCTAAGTGTGAAAGTTGAAATGATGAGATAATGATAGTTATCTTTAATGTGGTGTGGGATGCGTCTGTTTTGGATTTTCTCTTTCAAAAGGCGAAAACATGTGACAAGTCACAAGTCACAATTATGTGAACCGTTACACAAAGCGAACATTCCAAGCGAATCAATGCATTTCTCGAAACTCATATGAGAAATGGATCTCATGTGAGAATTGTTCGATGATTCTTTGATTATTTCCCATTTTATGACAAAACGATTTTAGACTCACGGAAACATATGCGTCGCCTATCAAACTAATGCTTTAACAAAAGCTAACTTACCGATCATTAATTTTGGTAAATTCGTATCGACACATAATCCCATCGTTGACCTATGAATTGTTTCGGCTTATTTGTGAAAGTCTAAGATGACAGACAAAGTTCAAAATATATAGTTAACCGTTTCTTAGTATGTCACTATATAGAAAGATTCGTTAAACAAAGATTTCTATTGAAACAACAAAAAAAAAAAAAAAAAAAAAAAAAAAAAAAAAAAACTTGAAGTATTGAACCACATATACCAAAAAATACAAAAATAAAGTTTATAAAGCTTAAGTTTTAATATACGTTAGGTGTAGTAGCATATGACAATCGTTTTTCAACCTCAATGAGTTTAGCAAATAATTGGAATTTCAATGCAAAACTTTTCAAGTATATAAGCTCGCGTATATGCACAAATATGAATATAAAACTCAATAAAATATTTCAATATATTTTCTTATCGAATAGAAAATCTCAACAGCTAACAACAGGAAGCAAAACAACAGAAGCAACAACAACAACAACAACTACAGCTCTGAGGGAAGTGACTTTAACAAATCCATCGTGTATTTTAAATGCTTCGCAGACGATGGCAACATACCGTATACCGGCGTCATTAAAACGACAGAAATCGTTATGTTTACACTTCAATACACACAATAGAGTAACAAAGTTAAACCATGAAGAGAATCAACGATATCAACAACGAAAACAACAACAACAACAGCATCGTTTTCATGACGAACCAGAACAACAACGAGTTACTACGAATCTAATATTTGAAAGCCGGGAAGGCAGTAGTAGCAGCAATTTTAGCAAACGTCAAGGTAGGTTAGATAGTGTTACCTCCTAAATAACATGGTAAGCACACAATCAAATTAATTGAAAAGCTTACTTGCACCTGTATTAACTAAGTCTCCAATAACATACGCACTCTATCATGACTAATTTTCATAACTTTTCATTACTCGGCCTCATTATTAGTGGGGGGAGGGGGCAGCACAATAACTGTAACTCTGGTCCATGAAATCATTTAAATCGAGTCGGGAGACAAGTGATGCAATCAAAACATTTAAATTCTATCGATATTCTGGATTATTTCACGGACTTTTATTAGCACAATTATGTCTTCTTCTTAACTTCGGACTTAATTGTTTCAAGGACAAATGAAGTGCGTTTATAGTTAAATAATTTCTCTTTTTCTTTTTTTATATTTGTATTTGTTAAACATTGCTGGGAGAAAGTTTTTGTTTTGGAGAAAGATCCACCCTTCCGCCAATTGCTTCGAGTCTTGCATCATTTCTCTAAAACGATATGATGAACTCTATCATTTAATAGAGATCTAACTTATTCCAATTGGCCATTTAATAGCAATATTATAGCATTCTTGGTTCCTTGACAAGAGGATACGAATCTGAAATACCGATTTCGCAATATGATGATGATGATGATGATGATGATGATGATGATGAATGAGTTTTTAATGAACATATTATATTTCATATTTCTTTGAATCGATTACCACTTTTAGCACAGCGTTCGTTAAAGTTGTGCGAATGAATGCTAAACTCGGAGAAAGAAAAATGAATGGATTCACTTCTTATTGCAACAATTTTCGAAATCGACTTAGGCATGCCGGTCTGTTATTCGCTCTGATGTGTTTCTATGCCTTTTATTTATTTTATTTTTTTTTTTTTCAATCTGCTGATAGCAATTTCCGAAATATTTTAGTGAACGTATGATCTAGAAAAATAAATCTTTATCCTATTGATTGATTTTTATGTTTGTTGTCTTGGATTATCCATAGAATATAAGCGCTCAACTTGTTAATAGCTTTAGTTCTTGCAGTTTATAAGTAATGACCAAAAAATTAATTGGCTTTTATTTGTGAAAACAAGGACTATATTGTACTGCGGACATGTCCTTTGACTGATTTGATCTTTTTTCAATATACTAACCCCCTTTAGCGTAATATTTGCGGCCAGTGTAATGCTTACCACAGAAATTATTATTGACGGACAGGCAGACAGACATACTTAAAACAATTCACAATTGAATGCTGATTAAAAATGTATGCATTTTTGGGGGGGGGGTTTCTAAAAGTTTTATATTGTTATCTTTTTTTTTAGGTTTTTGCGAACGTTTTAAAAAAATGAACACACACGCGAAACTTTGTTAGTGGGCGTGGTAGATAAGTCTAGATGTTTGGTGTTACTGTCTACTTGCGAGTGCATTTTTCATACAAAAGTTTCGATGGAAATGAAATCTTCACGTGATTACACAACATTTCATATTATAAGTTAGAGAAAGTGTAGGATACTTGATGGGCAGGGCAGGCCTTGCCTTACCTGTTTGTTTCTATCTTTTTGTAACATGCAAAAACCAAAGGATACCCATATAAGTTTATAATTTAATTACAAATTGGGTATATATATATATATATATATATATGTATATATATATGTGTGTGTAACTTTAATTTTCTTTTAAATTATTAAAGATTGTTCTACCTTTTTATTCATTTCTTTTGCATATATATATATTTTTTCATAGAACGAAATAAATTTACAAATTCGTCACAACAGAAGGTAACAAAAATGCTATTAATTGTGTCAACGGTATTTGTTTGCCTCAATTTGCCCAGTTGTGTGATGCGTATGAGAACTTTTATTGAGGTAAGCTAACCATGAATATATATAAAAGATATGTATATATGTACGTATGTTTCTTTCTATTCCCTCTCATCTAAACAACTGTAAAGTAAATCATGAGCAAATAAACTGAAATTGCAATTTAATTTGTAAATTAAATCAACGTCATTGCTGTCGTTTATTAAAGCGAAAAATCGAAAAGGCGAGAAAGCAAAAAAAAAAAAAAGGGGAAAAAGATTGTTTTCACTTTGTTATGACGCAAACATTACGAAAAAGCATAGGAAAGAAAGATGCATTGACGGGCAAAAGGGAAAATAATATGAATTAAAGGGAAAAAATCAGGTGAATACATCAACTGAAGGCTTTCTGAACTGAAAAAAAAAAAAAGAAAAGATTTACATAAGACGAAAGAGCTTTTATGTCAGCTATCGGAAATCTTTTTTTATATACGGAGCATTAAGTCAGTCAAAGAAGAGTAAATCTGAAATTGAAAGTCTCCAGCAAGTTTCTGTAAATAATTTCAAATAATTGATGGCCGATAAACGACGAGAAATGTTTTGAGGCGCACAAGCGGCAGATTACATTTCAACTAAATCATCTATTATTTGCATCTATTATTTCCTCTGACATTTTGTGCATGTATCCATCCAGGCATGCTTAGTATTACTTGGTGTTAAAAGTCAAATAAAAAACAAAAACAAGTAATTAACTAAGTAATAGCGCCTACAACACTCGTAAGCTGAAAGTGCGTGAAACATTTATTAAATGTAAAGTTCGCTTAAACTTGAGTCTTACACCTGACACAAAATCGCTTCGGCACATTTTGTTCTTCCAATCGCTTGGGAGACACACTAAGTCTATAACTCAATGATGTGATGAATGGAAGGAGGGAAGGAGTTATCCATGCACGTGCCGATTTAAAAGTGAAAACGTTAGGCATCACTAGAAAGCTCACTGCTGGTAGATTGTTCCAAATCAAAAAAAAAAAAAAAAAAAAAAAAAAAAAAAAAAAAACCAACGACG